AGTCATAACAACCCTAGAAGCCAACATAGAGAGCATGAGAAAGGTCAGAACATGGAGGCTTAGAGGGAAAGCAAACCCCCGGGAAGAGGGAATAACCCCAGATAAGAGAGTAATCTTCAGACCAGACAAAGACATCAGAGACCTGGAAGTAGACCCAACAGAATGGGGTTGGTATGTTGAACAAGAGAGCGGCAGAGCGAGGAAATTAATCAACTTACAAGACTACACAGTCAAGACGGGCTACAGGATAAGAAACAGGACAGAGGATCGGCACACAGTCATATCTAGAAGATGGAGCAAACATTTGGGAGAGAAACAGGACAGAGGATCGGCACACAGTCAAACCAACGAGATTCAGAAGCTTACAATGGCTAATATTATACTGGGCAGTCCCTGTCAATGAATGGCTAGATAAACGAAGAAAGAGCGAGCACAGAACTGAACAATCGGCACTCTGCAAAATGTGCAACCAAAACAAGGTAGAATCCCTCATACACGGCTTGATAGAATGCCACCACGCAGACACCCTATGGAAAACGGTCAAGGCAGCTTGGTCCAACTTATCCTCAAGCCAGTTCCCGCTACAAGCCGAGTACCTCTTATCGGGGAAAGAGAGAATTTCAGACCTAGAAGAAGAGGAAAGAACCCTAGCAGATCTGTTGAGAAGAGCAGCATTATGGGTCATATGGAGATCAAGGTGCAAAGGGACGCTGAGCAACCTGAAAACTACTGAGGAGGAGGAATGGAAGGAAACAAAGGAAATAGCAGAGACAGAAATAAGAGCACAATGGAAAAAGGAAATAAAAAAACAGGAAAGACTAGTAGACCCCACGAAAAGAAAGGCTAGCAGAAAATCTTCGAAGGAAAATGGCTGCTAAAAAAGAAAATTGCTAAAATTAGAAAAGGATACCTAAGCTTCAAGGATTGGGATATCAGTCACCAGGACACAGACAGCTCAGGGGAGGAAGAAAACGACATGGAAGAAGGGCAATAGGCATTCAAGAGGACAACAACAACACCCCCGGGGAAAACGCAAAGGAACAAGCCACGGGAGGAAGATAAGAAGAGACAAACCAGGACCCCACACACGCAGGACAAAAACGGGGTCCCATTCTAAAGAACGTAAACATATAACAGGGTGAGGGGGAGATTGCTAAAAACAAAGAGTTCAACATAAAAGGAGACCATCAAACGAAAGGAAAATAATCACAAAATAAAGAGGGAGAAGGGGCCTAGGGTTTAGGGTTTAACACCTTAACCCTCACAAACAGCACTGGATAGCCCAACCCCCAACAAAAGAGAAAAGGAACCAAGGTTAGGGTAAAAGGCAGTGAGTAATGCTCAGGGTATTAGAGACGGCATGGGAGCACTTTCCAAGTGCAATAGCAATATCCGCAAGAATTGATCATCAGCTCGGTGGAGGGAGTAATACCGAGACGTCAGGCAATCATCCATGGACTGCGAAGCAATCAATCTCGCCCAAGGGTCCCTGGGTAAAACAAAAGGAGGGGAGACAGTCTTCTGGAAAGCAACGGAGCATCCGCTAGAGCAGGGAAGAGCTGGGAACAATAACCCTGGACTTCAGCTCTACCATACGGGACCATTCTACAGAACATAGTTGGGAAGGGATAGAGGCCAGGCAGCTTGTAGAAGCAGAAGGTAGAAATTATAGGCTAACTTAGGCAGGGGTGAGGGGTGGTACATCCTTCCCTAGGGAAGTAATCAATGCTGTCCACTCGGACCTCCCAGCCATAATGGGGAGGAGCGTGAGCGTGTCTCCATTGTATCCATTTCTGACTTGCCAGGGGAATAGGAACCGGACTGTTGCTCCCCAGAATGGCAGGAGCCAGAGCCGAGAGGTTCTGTTTTCTTTAAAAAAAAAAAAAAAAAA